GCCATACCTGCAATCTAACTAGGAGATTATCTATTTAAGCTCTCTAGTTATTTCTAATGAGAGTATGACTAGCTATATATGCAACTTTTGGTTGCCTATTTAAGTAGTCTGCTCCAGATTCCTCACTAGCTACCGTATCTATAACCCAACTAGGAAGTTATCTATTTAAATCCTCTGGCTACCACTTTTGTAACACACTCTACTCTAACACTCATATAAGATTAGCAATTGCTGGGAATGATCCTAAGACTTTAGCCAAACCATATTGAGATATTTATCCTTGTAGTAAATCTAACAGAATAGTACATGTCCTACCCATGTATTCATATGCATGTTCTGATAACTTTTACCTAACTAGTACCTGTTGTGCTGCCATTATCAGGTTTATGTCTCAAGCTATCTTTTTGGATACTGCTATAACCTAATCCATATCTTAAGCCACAACCTTTCTAATTAGGATCTCATTACATACTCTTCACCCTTGTGAGGTTTACAACAACCCTGGTATCTATATTCCAACTTCTTTTTTCTCTAAATTCCTTACTGGTCTCTCTCTTACTTCTAGCCAGAAACCTGGAAGGGTTGGTCTGCCCAGGCTTTAGGTGCCTTATGGTCACCCTCCTCTTGATACATGCTTCTGAAGCACAAGTCCTTTTCCTCTGGTTGGTGTTCTGACGATTTGGCTAGTATATCCTCCCACTTAAGGATCTGGTCATTCAGTTCTCCAGTCTCAGTTCTCAGTTCCAAATTTGGCCTTCCTGTAGCACTGTCAAAGATCACTGCTACTCCACACTTAGGACTTGCCAAATGGGTTTTTAGTAATTCTGGTTTTCTGGATTTATTGTGCTAAAGCTCCCATTCGAGATAGTGTGACCAAAATTATAGATATCTGGATCTAACTGATAATCTTAACATTAACTGATACAAATCTAGTTTTTTCAAAATCGTCATCTGTGTGATTCAAACTCTAGACCTGCTATCTGGGAGTATGACAACTCCACCACTTCACTAAGTCATCACACCTATATATTTCGAATTAATTTAAATTTATTTGAAAGATATTTTTAATAAATTTCTTCTGGATTGTTTGATTTATTTTTATTATTTTTTTTTTTTTAAGAGAGTTCTTTTCCTCGTATCCTTTATTATAGTTATGCCAAATAATTACATATATTTTACATGATGATTTAATCTAAACTATTTATGAATGGGGGATAAAGCTACTTTACTTTAGACCTAATCTTAGCTAGATTGGTCAAGGACCTCTAGACTATGTTATTAATGTCGATTGGATTATTGTTCATTAATATATACTGTTGAATCCATTTGAATATATTTGTATATTGCTGATTATTTGTGGGGGTTATTAGGTAGGGTAAGTTGGTTTGTGGTAGAGTATTGGCTATTTGGTTAGTCACCATTCTACTTGGTTTTCAAATTTCTTTGTGAATTTTCTTTGTTAGTTTATAGTATAATTTTGCAGTCACGTTGTATTTCTGTGATGGAAGTATTGTTTTTTTTGTCACTAGGCCGATAGGTAGTGCTTGGTTTATATGTGCCTGAATGAAGTTATTAATAAAGGTGTTAGTATTTTTAGTTGTAATTTTAAAATATTGGTTTATATCATTTAATAATTCTTTAAGTAAGTCTTGAATTGTTGTTGTATTCATGAGGCAAGTCATCTAATATTGGTTATGTTTTTGATAATAGTTACACCTTAGACATGCTGGTGATTGGTTCAATGATGGATTATGCTGATGGAGTATTTGGCGGTTTGGGTGTTCATTTGTAATAAGTTTGATTTTGAAGTTTTTGATATTGAAAAGTGCTGTGTTAGTATATCTTGTATTTGGTTTATTATTCCAATTAAGTGCTAAGAAAGTTAATTGCTAGTTGATTGAGTTTTGTCCTGTATTCTATTGATTTATTCTATTTTGTTGAGTCCAATTGTTGATGTTAGTTGCTTTGAAAATATCAAAAACCAGTAGTTTGAGTGGAGTATGAATTGGGTATCCGTAGATTGTTGGTAGGTAATATTTGTGTAGGAAGAGTCTTGAGTCAAATTTGGTTAAGAGAGTTGTTTTATTATCTTGTTTTCTAATTTCGGTGCCCAAATATATTGTTAGTTGTATGTTCTTGTGCTGTATAAGTTTATAAATAACTAATTGAAAAGGTAAGTATATATTTTGATTTGGTTTTTGTAATTTAAAACTGTTCCAATTGTTTATTTCATTAATTATTTTGATTATGCTAGAGGAATTGGTATGTATTGAGATTCTGTCATTGAAATTTGCAGTAGTAGCAATTATTATTAATGCTGTGATTGCTATTTTTTTTGGTTTTTGCCAGTATTGATTATGTATCTGTAATGATTTGTTATTTATTTTAATTGATGCTATAGGGATTGTTTGATCATTTTTGATTGTTAATATTAGTATATCAGCTTTTGAGACTTTTGTTAAATTTTGAGCCATTGACTATATATTATTGTTTATATTTGTGAATGCTTCTGATATATTGTATGATAGTTTGTGATATTAAGGTATATATATAAAGAGTTGGTGTGGAGTTTGTTGCTGTATTCCAGGTGGTATGAATTAGCTCTATTCTCCATGTCAAAACTTTTTCTTGTTTACTTTAATCCTAAATATTGTCTCTAGGGGTATTTTAATCCTGCAGAATTTGTGTTTCGTTTGTAAATATTTGCAACCTGTATATTTAGTTAGTTTGTTGTTATTGATGTCTAAATTCCAGTGTTGGAGTATAGGTTGTTGTGTATTATATATTTGGATTCTGCCTATTAATTTGTGTTTCGTGATAATCTATTTGTGCTTGTAATTTTTTGGGATTGGTTGCTATAAATAAGGGTTCATTTTTGGTAATATTGTTGTTACTGATATTTGTTCTTCGATCAAGTTTTGAATATTGCAAAACCATTTGGGAATTCTGCCTCTTGGGATTTTATATATATTGTAGTGGAATTGCATCTAGGAGATGAACTCTGTGCAATCGTAATTAAGAAATTGTTCTAGTGCAACTATTTGATGTTTGTTGGTAAATTTTTTAATTTTGGTTCCGTCTTTAATATTTTGAAGTATATCATTAATTAATGTTCCTATAAAGTTTATTGGTTGTGGCTATTTCTAAGGTGGGCTGCAAAAAGCTATATTGAAGTTGTGAGCTATCTCAATAATTTGACTTGTAAAGGTGGTGTGTTATAAAGAGGTGAAAACTGCTTTTTGAGCTAATATTGAGGTGTTAGTAAGAGTATTGTTCTGTAGTTGTTGTAATCTGATTTTGAAGGTAGAGTGAAGAGAATCTAATTGGTTAGAAAGTGATAATAATT